CACGCGGGCTGGATACTGCAGTGTGTACACAAATTGGCTGCGTGTTGCGCGTTACGCGGCCGGCCGTACAGCGCGTGACTACGGCTCCGGCTCACCTTAGGCTATGCAAACTACGCACACTTTCCGTTCTCCGTAAAACTAACAACTGATTATTAAGACACCAGAGCCCGCGCAGTGGGTTACTTTGTCGAATTAAAGCTAAACAGACGTCAGCCAGAGTTGTGACTTTTTAATTTAGCAGTCTGTACTGCTGCAGTGTACTTGCTTGGAGCCACTGCGTTACAACATAAGGGCATGGTAGGACTTATGCTATTATTTAATAGCGTTTTGTCTTAACTCGTAAACTATTTATTCTACAGTTCTTCGTTCCGATTGCCTGAAAGCGCAGACAGGCCGTATTATAATATACCATCTACTGATCTTACTGCTTACTAAAATTCGCACCTTAGCATAAGCACGTATTTATAGCAGCAGTATCCGAGTCCTTGTTATCCAAACCTAGTAGAAACGGACACAGCCTGGTGGATTGATTTGAGAGGGCAGAAAGCAAGGCAACCCCTGATGTGCTTAGGGCCTCAAACATGTATTAACTCGAAATAGCATAAGCCCAGATTCAAACTCCTTGTTGAAATCGAACGTTAATTTCAAATCAGCGTCGCCTCTGACTGAAATTAACGTCAGAAATAGTATCAGTATTTCTAACACTCCTCTACATTGCTATTTAGTATTAGTAGAAATATTAGTAGCCGTATCATTCGCAACTTCCTTCAGCCTGTCTTGAGTGAGGTTAGATAATGCGGTAGTACTTGCGCAAAGTTGATTGTCACTTAAAAGTAAGTTATGTCGTGTTTCAGGCTTGCATTGGAGAAAGCGGCCAACGCTGAGCCCCGTTTGGTCTTCTTGACCCCGGGCGAAGGTGAAGAGTGCGGTTGGCGCCAACTACGTCTATTACCACTGTGTGTGTGTGTCCGACCATCGATTTCGAGGAAGTCCATCAAGTGCACTAACAGGTTGGTACAGAAGGTGACAAGTCCCAGGGGAAAGATTATAGTGATGGTTGGTTGGTTAGTAACCCTTGTTGGGTCAGCAGTCCCCGCCGGAGTCCAAACTGGGTGCAGTTGGGAGACGGAGAAAAGCCGC